TGAAATTTTTCTCCAGAAAGGTTCTGCAGTTGGCAACCTACCAGTCATTTGTAAGAGGTCTGCTTTTCTGCTTCCTTATCAGCACAGAGCAATACTTTATAACCAGTATTTTTTTTTTATTGAAATACCATCAGTTATAATGTGTCAGTTTCTGGTGTACAGCACCATGTCCCAGTCATGCATATACATACATATATTCGTTTTCATATTCTTTTTCATTAAAGGTATAACTAGTATTTTTTTTAAAGAAAATTACCTGTGTTTTTCTCTATCCTTAAATGCTTTAAGAAGATGGCAGGACTCCACCCATTTGGATTTTTTTGTGTTCTTTTGTTTTTGGTTTCTTTCATAAACTTTTTATCATGGAATGTTTTTAAATTTACAGAAAAGTTGCTGGGGAAATAGAGTTCTCCTGTACCCTTCCCAGTTTGTCCCACTGTTAACATCTCGCCTGGCCCTGCAGCACGTTGGTCAGAACTGGGAGATGAACATCAGTTACCTTACTGGTCACCAAGCCACAAACGTTACTTGGATGTCACCAGTGTTTCACTGATGCCCTTTCACTGTCCCAAGATCCAATCCAGGGTGCCTTGAATTGAGCACATTTGGATTTTTATGAAAGTTTTTTCCTCCGTTCATGTTAACAGTGCTTTGGCATTCTTCGCAAATGACGTTTGGGAGAGGAAGTTCCTTGTATTTGAATAGTTTTATTTTTACTGTTGATTATGGTACCCCTCCCACTTCCAAAAGGAAACTGAAATAGATTTCAATAAAAATCACGGTTACTAGTAGCAGTTACTAAAACAAGATCAAACCCAGTGCTGGGAAGAAAAGGGTGAGCAAAGACAAGATTGATAGGGAAGCTGGGCCCAGGCCAGTCTCAGCGTTTGAGTGTGAAACTGGGGTCTGTGCTTCCTGGGAGCCAGAGCCAAATGAGCAAGCAGAGTGGGTCTGTGATGCCACTCAGCGGGTGTTAGGCAGCATGCAGACTGACTCAAAACGAAAACACAGTTTTTCTGTGCACGTTACTCACAGGGCTTATTATAGGGGCTTTTGTGTAAGCCGTTCTTGACGTGAGGTAAATAATATTTTCTATGTAAGTATTTACTACACGTAAAATGCACATAATAAATCCGCATAATCTTGTTCCCTGCCTTCTCTTTATAAAAGGTTCCTCTTGGGTTGCTTCTGTCATTTTCGTCCCACACAGTTCAAGACTGAGCTTGGACGTGTGCGGGGTGGACGGTCCTGGCAGCCGTGGGGAATATTCTTGGTTCTGGATCTGATTTGGCCGCATGGCTTAGGAACGGAGCTGGGAGGCCCATTTCTCTTCGTCCCTTTTGCCAGAGGAATATAGACAAGACCGTGCTGGCTGCTGCCGTTTCACCCGCGCTTTGGGAAAGCAGACAGACAGACTGCATCCTCTGTCCCACCCTCTAGGTGAGATGGTGCGCCAGGCCCGGGTCCTGGCTCAGGCCACCTCGGACCTTGTCAACGCCATGAGGTCAGATGCGGAAGCAGAAATCGACATGGAGAACTCAAAGAAGCTTCTGGCAGCAGCAAAACTCTTGGCTGACTCCACTGCTCGCATGGTGGAGGCTGCAAAGGTAATGCATTGGATGTATTTGATTAAAAAGTGAACATTTTTGAAACTGAGGATTTGGAAGTTACCTTCAAGATAGAGGATGGTCAGCCAAGTGTGCGTTTTTGTTTAAACTCTGTATGACTTTGTAATGTTTAACCTTCTTCAAGTGGAAAAGAGGAAGGTCCTAGAACGTGTGAATGAAGCTCCTTAGGGGAGTGGTGCTGACTCAGGCATAGACAGCAGTCCCTGCTTGGCGAGCGCTCTTTCCATTGAGTCATCGCTGTTGGCTTTATTGAAAATGGTGATTAATTTAAGTTTGAGCTTTTTCAGCAGTAAATTTAGTTAGACCTGTTTTCTTCTTACAGCCTTGATATGACTTTGCCCTCCACTTGACTTCTTAAGATGTTGCATAGTAGGGTATTTCCTGCTTCACTGTTACCCAAACCCCAGTAGCAATTTTAAATATTATAGAAGAGTTTGAATAGAGTTAACAGTCAGCTTTGTGCTTTTTGACAGCTATGCTGTGTCATAATATGTCTAAACCCCAGTGATTCTTAACCCAGGGCTGTTTCCCAGTGCCCTGTGAACCTTACTGAAGTACACATGCCTTAATTCTACCTCCAAACGTCCTGACTTACCAGGTTGCTGGTGGGTCTCTGTGTGTGTGTGTGTGTTTCACAGAAGATTGTGATGCCTACCTCTGGGTGAGAACTGTTTAAATGGATAAGGCTGTATTTTTTAGTGTTGTTTTTATTATGCAGTTAGCACATGTTACTTGTGAAATGAATAGAAAATGCAGGTAAGTGTAACAACGAAGGTAAAAATCACTTTCAACTTCATATGCGCAAGATAACATGATCAATGTATTTCCGTGCATTTCAAGTTCGTTAAACTTCCCCACATCTTATCCTTTCTCCATGGCCTCCAACAGAACAGTAATGTATCTCAACCAAGTGTATGAATGGCTTCACTTACAGTGGTGACCTGCAGTGAGCCATGTAAACCTTCCTCCTCATCTGACACATCATTGTGTTACCTGAGGGTCTGAGGGCTCTTAGAGAAATGTCACGGCTGGGGCTGAAGACATACCCAAGGAGGGGCAGGCTCTGAACTTCCTTCTTCTGTCCTTGATCCCCATTTCAGCTAAGAAGCTCTGCTCCTGACGATCCCTTTTAGCAAAAATACACATTAAGGTTTTGATTTACAGTTAATTTTTTTAAAGGTTTTTACTAGTTTTGTTTCTTTTTTTCCCCTCCTTCTAAGTCTAAACAAAACCATTTCAAACAAACCCTTATAGTGACAGAAACTACTTGCTAGGCTGGAAAGAACCTTATTGAAAAATGCAGTCTGTCTCGTTTTTTTAACAAATGAGAAAACTAAAACTCTGAAGGATGAAGCCTACCATCCCATAACCAGGACGAGCCAGGACCAGTGTGCACATTTCTGTCCAGATATGTGGTGCTCCCCAGAGCAATTCACTGCATGTACCAAGTTACCAAGAACTTTTAAGTATTTGTTATTTTTGATTGTTTATATTAGAAGGGACAGCACTGGGTGTTTCTGTAAATTCTTCTAACTTTTTAGTTAAAAGCTGTCACTTTGTCTTCATGGTAGTATTTTAGTTTGCTGAATTCTGTTGAAAGATAAAGAATGCATGATGGTTAGACTTCCAAAAATGTATTTAGCGTGAAGAAAAAAGATATTTCATTATCAGTAACTAAGATTTCATGCCAAGATAAGTACCCCATATGTAATGCACATTCATTATGAAAAAGACATTGCTGAGGAAGGATCCAGACACCCACATCAGTGTAAAGTGTGGAAATGGTGGTTCCCTGCTGCTCGAAACACACAATTAAGGCTGGTGTGCCACTTGAGGAATTAATAAAGGAGTAGCTTTTTAAAATCCCTGATAACCAGAAAAAATAAAATGACATTCATAAACCTGCAGAAGAACACAAAAGGAGCCCAAACAATCCTTTCACACATGAAATGCAAAAATATCATTTCTTAGTTGCTTAGAAACACAAAATCGGGACTACTAAAAGTGGTTTCAGTTTGAAAGAAGAGAAGATTCCATCCAAGAGGATTGATTGCCAAGACAATTCTGTCACAGATGTTAAAACTGTTATTCAGTGTGAATTCCTGTGACATTTATAAATACCGTGGTTGAAAGAGATAGGTTTTTTTTGCAAATTGGTAAATTTGGCAGGGTGGCCATATGGAAAATGGAGATGTTCAGGAAATTGATTTTCAATAATTGGCATTTCGTTCTGCCTTGCAAGCAAATGTTATTGCCCAAAAGCGTTCATGGAAAGAATTTTGTTCATCAACCTACATCAAGTGCTGGTCACAGAGCATCCAGGTCTTGTGAGAAGAACCTTCATTGTTGCTTTTATTGCAGATGGGGGTGGATGGCTGGATGTGCTTTAGGTTTTGTTGAGTTATTGTGCAGCAAAATAATATCCTGTCCCTACTTTACCTTTAGCCCTTCCCATCTCCAAAATGCCACTCATCTGAGTAAAATCCACTTGGATTCCTAACACGGTTTAATCTACAACAACACAATAAAAGGGCCGTGGAGTTATACAAGGGAAGCGTGGCCATCGGCTGTGCACAACACCCTCCTCTCTCCCTGCAGGACAGGGGCATCGATTTCTCTCATTTCTTCCGTACAGTTGGGTACTTGGCTCCTTAGGAATGCAGCTTCTAGACTGGTCTTTCTTGAACAACATTGCCTTATAGAAATTTGGGTGGCATTCCCATCCCCGCTCCTCCCTCCACCCCAGCCCCCGTGTGAAGCTGTAATCTTGGTCCATTCTCATTCACCAGTGCTGCAGGACACAAGAGTCTTTCAGCAGCAACACGTGTACTCCAATTAAAATAAAATTCCGCCCGAGATGTGGGCAGGAGGGAGATTTAGCTTAACATCTTTTAAACCATGGCTTTTTGACCACAAGTTAATTTATATGTACGACAAAGGCTGTGATCTCAAGTGTTTAATTATTACCATTACACTTCCCCTGTTTAGCTGTGCACTTTTGAAACATCCCCTGGTAGATCTTGGTTTGTTGTGAGAGGAAACATCTTTATCATAAGGATACTGCTTGGAGCGTTTGGCTCTCTCTTCCAGAGACTTGGTATTCCTAGGAAAAAGTAAAATTGAAGGTGTAAATTCAGTGTCTGTGGCATGCTGCCCCTTGGACCTCTTAATTTTTCTTTTCACCTTCACAGGGGGCTGCAGCCAACCCTGAGAACGAGGACCAGCAGCAAAGACTGAGGGAGGCTGCAGAAGGTCTCCGGGTGGCCACCAACGCTGCGGCCCAGAATGCTATTAAGAAAAAAATCGTCAATCGACTGGAGGTCAATAAAGAGGCTCGTTTTGTGGGTTTTAGATCACAGAGTCCACTGAAAGAGTAGTCGAAGTAATAAGGCGATGCCCGTACAAGGCTTCCTGTGTGTTTGGTGGGAGGAAAGGCCTGAGCACCAGCATTTGTGCCTGGTGTTTAGCCCAGAGAGCAGCCCGTGCTTGTGAGAGCAGTTTTTTTTCCTGAAATATTTAGACTTGGTGCTGCTTATCAGTGCCATCATGGTCTTGGGACTTGTCCCATGTCTGTTTGAGAAAGACAAGTGAACATGGGAACTTGAGCGTTCAAGCCTGCCTGTCTTTATCACTCGTCCTGCAGGAGACAACAGGGCGTTGCTAGGCTAGGGTGTCAGTGGTACTTAAAGGGCGAGCCTTGTGCTGGGGACTCCCCTTTCTTGCAGCTAGCCAGCGCCCCCCTTTAGTGGAAGGGACATAGGTCAACATGCACGTGTGTGTGTTTGCACATGTGAACCCTGGCTCACCTCCTCTCACTGTCCTCCCCAGGTTGCAGCCAAGCAGGCCGCAGCTGCAGCCACGCAGACCATCGCTGCCTCTCAGAACGCGGCCGTGTCCAACAAGAACCCCGCGGCCCAGCAGCAGCTGGTCCAGAGCTGCAAGGTGAGGTTCCGGCTGCCAGAAGGCCAGGTTTGCTCTCAAAGACCCTGATAGCATTAGAGCTCCCAGCACCCCTGTAATTCGATTAAGACTGATCAGCCAGGCCCCTAATCCGGTTTGTTCCGGCTCCTGTGTTCCAGGTGTACACACACATCTGGTTTTTGTCTGTTAAATGGATGGCTTGTGTTTGGAAAGAGCATGATGTTTTGCCCAGCATTGTCTTTGCTTTGTCTAGATTCTTTCCTTTCTTTTTGAGAGCCCGAATCAAGAAGGATCAATGACAAAGCCATTTTCGGGCTCTGAAATAGGAATGAGGCATTGAATTTCCAGAGTGCCTCCCTCCCCTTGAGTGGTGGCCTTTGCATTCAGTGTTGACTCGTCGAACGGGTGATTTCCTGCTTTGCAGGTCCCCTTTGGGACCAAAGGGCGGAGTGTGTGTGGGAGGAGCCTGCTCAGAGACACTGTGTTGGAACTCAGTGTTGGCCAGGACCCCGCTGGCTGAGGCTGCTGCGTGAATCCGAGGTCTGAGCGACGGCACATCCACAGAACATTAGCACCTGGGCATTCCCCCCTCCCCGCCCCTCCCCAGGTTTGGTAATTCACCACCCAGGTTGTGCTCAGTTCTCATTTTCCTTGCTTTCTGTAGGCAGTGGCTGATCACATTCCTCAGCTGGTCCAGGGGGTCAGGGGGAGCCAAGCCCAAGCAGAAGACCTCAGTGCCCAGCTAGCTCTCATCATCTCCAGCCAGAACTTTCTCCAGGTAACACAGGAGCATTCACCTTGGTCTTACCCAGAACCTCAACCCACCCCAGCCCGCTCCAGGCAGGGGCTGCCCTTTATCCTTAAGGAGAGAAATTAACACATTCCAGAGCCATAGCAAAATGTTTGCAGTAAGCAGACCTGGAAGCAGTTTTAGGAGAGGGAGATGGCAAAGCAGGATGCTAACATGCAGGGAAATGGCCCCTGGAGATGGCACACAATCCCTTTTTCTCTTTGTTTCTCTTCTATGAGAGAAAACATATGATAAGTTGCACCTTCGGATGGACAGCGTAGTAGTATGTGTTGCCCTAGGTTTGCTAGTGTCCAGAGTACCTCACGCCATCACTTATGGCCCAGGAAACAAGAATCGGTGAGCGCATATTCTCCAAAGGTGCAGTGGTTTCCAGCGGCAATGAGGGAATTGGTAAGGATTATCAGTCTTTGTTGGGGTGAGGGATAGATTTTTTTAAATTAAATACAATGTGAATATCAAGTTGTGGGGACACTCCCTTTGTACATACTTCTGCATGTGTACTCACACCTGGCACTTTGCCTCCTTGTACCCCATGAGCTGTTCGTCTTCCTCATCCCTGTCTCCTCAAGCCTGACGTCACAGGTCCCAGTGATACATCTGTTTGGTTAATTTTTCAGTGCTGTAGCTCCAGCATGCAGGGATAGAACAGGAAAAGTTTGTGCTTCCCCACCTCTTAACTACATACATATACACACAAACGTATTCATGTATATATGTATCCTCTTGGAATTCATTGTATGTAGACTGTTCTTCATGTTAACATATAATGAATGTTTGTGATTTTTGAGTCATACTTGGCATTTAGCTGCTCCCATCGTTGGACACGTAGGTTGTTTTCAGTTATTTGCCATGATAGACAATCTGTGATACAATAACACGTCTTTGTGTGAACTCAAATCTTTGTGACCCTCTTGCATCATTTCCTTAGGGTAAATTTCTAGAAACACGATTGTGAGCAGCTTATTTTTATCTTCAGGACATTGAGAATTGTGGCTTGGACAAGTTGTTTATCTTCTGCGTTGTCCCACTGCGGGCAGGACTGGAGGATGTTAATGATAGAGCGATGTGGATGTGTTCCGGGCTCATTCTGTCTCTCCCTGCCCTTGTTTTTCCTGTTTCTTGTGTTATTTTCATCTTACTACTGGAGACACATCAGATCTTTACAAGAATAAAGCCAGAGCCAGAAAGAGAAATGGAATCAGGAGATCAAAAAGTTTTAAATTTTTTTTTAAAGTTTGTACTTTAACCTGTCTTCATACCTGTGGTAAAATTGCCCTTCCAGAAAGATGACTGAATTCTACATTTACAGCTAGCAGTGTATGGAGCACACTTTTTAATACTCCTTTTCCAGGTTGGGAAATCAATCATTGAAAAAAAAAAACGCTTTTGCTAATTTGCTTGGTAGAGTTTTTACTGTTTGACTTTATATTTCCTTGATTTTTACATTATTAATCATTTTTCACATTTCAGTTATTTTTTATTATGTGAACTTTTCTAGTCATGCTTTTTTGTATATGCATGCTGATTTTTCTTACAAATTCTCATGAATTCTTTAAATATTAATAATAATATTAACTTCTGTTCTTAAGATTTATGTCTGACATTTAAATTGTCACAACTTGACTAAGAGCAGTTATATAACATACATATTAAAACCCTGAAAATTAAGTATACTCTTTGGTCTGGAAACTCTGTTTTTAAGAATTTATATCAAAAAATGTTACAAACGTGTACAAAATTTTAGCTACAAAGGTGTTTTTCGTATTATTGTTTATTGTATGCAATGAGTAGAAACATACTCAACAATATAAAATTGCAAAGTGATAAATGTATGTGCTGGAGTATTATATAGCCCTCAAAAAGATGGAGTATGTGGAACAAGGAGATTGAAAAACAGAATAAGTAGCATGATCTTATTTTTGAAAATATATATGCCTGCCCACAGACACTGACGCATGGTGAAATTATCCCGGGTGGGGAGATGTGAGAGGTCATGTGTTTCATTTATCTTGCTGTATTTTTCTAAATAGTCTATTAGATATATTTGAGACACAGATTAAAGCGCTGTTCCAAGGACCACAAACATATGGAATAAGAAACTGTCTTTCAAATCTATTTTAAATGAGAATTTCAAGCCACTCTCCCAGTTTTCCTCCCAACTCCACCCCAAAGGCATATGCTCTTTACTTCAAACATTCCTAGAATATACTGCCCTGGATATTCAATTCTGGGGGGAAACTAGATAGTTTTAATATTCCTTGTTTTAGGATAAAGTCAGTTCTGGCTGATACAGCGGCATTGCTTTTGGGGTCTCTGCTCTCTGACTTTTGATGCCTGGAACTGTCTTACTTCCCACTTCTGTCTCTACAGCCTGGGAGCAAGATGGTGTCCTCTGCCAAAGCTGCAGTGCCCACCGTGAGCGACCAGGCTGCGGCCATGCAGCTGAGCCAGTGTGCCAAGAACCTCGCCACCAGCCTGGCAGAGCTGCGTACCGCCTCGCAGAAGGTAAGTGGACCCTTGTCACCACGATTAGCCTGTCGGGAGTGCAGCTTTTAATTTCTTACTGATGGTGTGACCTGGATGCTCCCTGCAGCCTGAACACTGCCAGGCATATTCCTTGGCACAGTTGTCTGTTCCATTTGCTTCACCATTAAAGACACTCACGTGGATTGGCTTCTACCACTTGGAGCCACCGTCTCGTAGTCTTAGTTATCACCTTCTGGTTACAGGTGACTTTGGTTAAACCATGTTCAGTTGCCTACTTCGCCTCCTCCCTTACCCTGAGACAAGCAGTGGTCTATTTTTCAGTCTTAGGGAGACTGTAGTCAGTTTATTGGTGACGGGTCAACTGTAGGCCAAAGTCAGGGAACACATCTTCCAGGTATCATCTTGTGAACTAATATCAAATTATTTAGGCAGCAAATCTATTTTGGAGTGTCATTTATATTAACTTTGCCCTGAAAGGTTTTCACATCTCAAATGGGAGCATTCACCTTAACAAGATCCTCAATAGACCAGAATTGGAGATTAATGAGTTTCTGTCTCTGGAATTTATTAATTACCAAAGGGCCTCATTACTATACTGTTTGATGTGGTATTAGCATGAAGTTCTGGCATGAATTCATTTTTCCTCATTGCAACAGTCCCTTTATAGAAACAGGCAACCTCATACCTGAGTGAGGGAGGAAGGTTAGAAACTGATTTGAATTTGTAATATGAACAGTGCACTATATCACCAAAGAAAAATGTCTGTAGAGATCCAGGGAGCATCTGCACTGGAGTCATGTGGGGGATATGCAGAATGCACGTTCCTGGGCCTTGAGCACCCAAATCAGAATGCGAAAACGAATATATGCCTGTGTATGCATGACTGGGGCATGGTGCTGTACACCAGAAATTGATGCATTGTAATTGACTACACTTCAGTTAAAAAAATAAAACTAGATCATCTGGTCATAGAGCACAGACATCACGATTTTAACAAATTTCTTCAGTGAATCTGTGACACACCCACCTCAAACAGCTGCTTGGTAGAAGTGAGCCCCAAAGTGAAGCTCAAGCAGGACTGTCCACTGGCTTCAGGAAGACGCTGTGAGAGCGTTTAGTTATTTTTGTATTATAAGGGTCAAGAGTACAGGCTATAGAATCAGACTGCCTGCGTTCAAATTCTGGCCTTGCCACTGACTAGTTTTGTGTCCTGGGCAAGTTAATTAAACCTCTCTGTGCCTCAATGTTCTCACCTGGTAGTATTGGTACACAGAAATCGATCAGTTAGCATTTACTGCTGCTGTTAGCATTGTCTTAAAAGGAAAGAAGTTAAGATTTACCAGTATTTAATACACTTATCAGTGATCATATATGTGTCTAGTGTATTAATCTGTGTGCTGGGGGGGTGTGATCAAAGCATTTGGAGACCAGTGTTCTAAATGATCATGAACTAGTGTTCTTTAAACAAATATTTTTTAATGAGGAAAAAAGAAATATTTCATCACCTTCAGTAAGAAAAGATAATGATTTACAATCTAGAGATTTGTAAAGAGGATCAATAGGTTGATAGAGACATGTCCCCAGAGTCCTGAGTTCATTCATTCATTCACCCCATGCTTCCCAAGCTTCTAGGTGCACACATACTGTGCTCGGAGCCCTGTGTCTAGAACCTAAACACAGTGAATAAGGGGCCTCTTAGTCTGAGAGGCAATGCATTTTATATAACAGCTTCGGGGAGACTTTAAGTATATCCAATTATGAGACACGCATAATTGCTTATTCAGGGATCTGAGGACTAAGCTCCTGGTGGGACTTAAGTTTGTGCTCTCAGGAAATGCTTGCACCCTTGCTTCTCTTGCTAGACTGGGAGAGTCATCGGTTATATTCATACGTTGCAAGGTACTGGGAACGCTTTTCCCCAGCAGACTGTTGTGCCATGTTCCCAACTCTCCTGACAGGCCCATGAAGCCTGTGGTCCAATGGAAATCGATTCAGCTCTGAGCACGGTGCAGACGCTGAAGAGTGAGCTGCAGGACGCCAAGGTGGCTGCTGTGGACAGTCAGCTGAAACCACTCCCAGGGGAGACTGTAAGAGATGCTGGCAGCAGCTGGGGGCGGGGCTCTGCCTTTTATTTCCTGCGTTGAGACATTTTAGAAGTTGGGGGTAGTGTGCCTAAATTTCAAGCTTTTCTAACACAAAGCCCTAGTGTAGCCTTTAGAACTGTGTTCAGACAGAGATCGCCCTGATGCCTCTGGTGATGGTTCTGCATATGTTCTCCTGGGATCTGGCTGGGGATGAGTGGGGATCTGTTAATAGTCATCCCTCTTTTTCATAAACAAGACCTGCTGGTGTTTGAGGCAGGTGTTCTGATCCTGTGGCCTTTTTCTGAAAAGAATGCTCAGTGCAGCTGGAGGAACTGTGTTTAGAACCAGAAGTTCTGGCTTCTGGGTTCAGCTTGTATCATCAACCAGCTGTAGGCAAGCCCCAGATCTCCTCTGAGGTAGCTTATGGAGGAAATGGGTGGCAATGAGGTTATAAAGATAAACACAGAAACCATTTTCAACCGTCATGTCTTTTTAAAAGACATTTCTGTAAGGCGCTTGTAAGGCATTGGAATGAACAAGAGTGAAGCAATTGAAGGTAGTAAAACCACAATAGCAAGTAGAATGATGGCACCAGAAATCTAACTGGATCATGTTACGTGACTTCCTGATGTCTATGGCAGGGTTTTCCTGGCTAAAATTTTACCAATATTCCTCATTTGTATGCCCCTCGTTTCCCTCATTGCTAATAAAATGCCACCATTTATTAAGCACCTGTTAAGCGGTGTATACACACTCAGTCACTCTCGTTTATCCTGATAATGACTTTAATGAGCAAGTGTTGTTCACCCATTTTACAGCCAAGGAAACAGAGGTGCAGAGGTTGTCACTGTTCTCTCCAATGTTACCTGGCAGTTTGCGTCAGAGCCGAGGCTTGAATCCCATCTACAGGACCCCAAAACCCATGCCCCCAATCCCTCCTGTTGAGAGCTTTTACTCTTAACTATTGCCACTCCTTAGATGAACTAAAAACTTTCAGAATATAAAGGGACTACCAGGGCATCTAACTTATTGAACGATGACTAGTACTCAAAAGCACTCAGAAAACACTTCTTAAATCAAGCTACCTCTAATTGTAAAAACCAGGAAACTCAGGCTCAGAGGGGTTAAGTCACTTAACTAAGGTCCACCAGCTAATGATGAATTCAGGGTTGGTTCCTGGGTCAGCAGCTTTGCAATGTGGTCCAGGTGTCCTTTGGCAAACTTCTGTACTCCAGGGAGCCCATGACCTACATCTGCCTTTACGTAAAACAACCATTCAGTTAGACTGCAAGAAACATCATGTAATTTTTAAAGAAGTTGCCCTAAAAGAATATGTGTATTGTGTTGTATTGTTGGCTGCAGTGGACCAGGCTGTTTTTCACTTGAATGCAGTGCCTCTCTTGGGAAACGCATTGTGGGGTTAAAAATACGCACGTTCCCTGATGTTTTTCTGAACTCTCACAGTGTACCCCAAAGTTCTCTTCCAAAATGTTGTCCTCATCCAGTAATTAAGTAATTACTCATACCCTAGACCTTTACTGACATAATTCTCTGAATTATTTATTTAGTTTACAGAGCGAGATGAGGTGCTGGTCACGGGAAGCAAGCGCTTTGCCCGTTTTCGTAATCTCATCTACCACTCCAAGCCTCTATTTCTATTGCATTTCCTTCTGGTTAGAACTCCTCAAAGCAAAATAATCAAATTGTACCATGTTCATGGTCCCGCATGCCAGGAAGGTGGAACAGCTGGATGTCTGCCCACTTCCTGCCAAGGCATAATTAATTCTCACTAACGATTTGTTGCAGACTTCCTAAATTAGCTTCTAAAGGCATAATACTAATAGCTACCATTTGCTGACTACCTACATTAATTTTCTGAAAACCTTCAGAGCTAGGTGCTGTGATCTCAGGACACGGAGACTTGGAGCGGCTTAATAATTTACCTCCATCTCACACAGCTAGCAACTGGGGAAAGGGAACAGAGGGCAGGGTGTGAACTCAGGTTTGTTTATTGTGAAGCTTGGGCACTTTCCCTCCATCACCCCACTTCTTCTCAGCGCCATTGGTGTCTTGGGTGGGAAAGAGTTAAGGCCCAAAGTTTGATTTGCATTATTTTGGAACTGAGATTTCAATGGATGGTTCTTTTCTTCTGAGCTCTCCTCCCCCTCAAATATTCCTCCAGCTGGAAAAATGTGCTCAGGACCTGGGAAGTACATCTAAGGCAGTGGGCTCCTCCATGGCGCAGCTCCTGACCTGTGCCGCTCAAGGCAACGAGCACTACACAGGTGAGACCCGCACCCTCGGTGACGCCCGGTGGCCAGGTGCAGACTCCTGGGCTGGTCGGGGAGGTCACTGATCTGACAACGAACCTGACTGTTTTATCTCAGCGGTTCAACACACATTTTTCAAGCTCCTTCCACATGCTTGTTACTGGGCTCGATGCTGAGCATACGAAGGCTGATCAAATATGATTCTCCCAAACTGTTTGAGAAAACAACGAATAAGATCTCAGCGACGTTTTCAACGATGAAAGGAGACAGATGAGTGAGAACTGACAGACTCTAAGAGATAAAAACCTGAATGTCTCCAGGCATAGGGAAGCTTACAAGAAACCAGCTGATGGGGTGCTGCAAAACTCTGGGAGGGTCTGAGTGCTGCAGGCACCAGGTATCCTTGAACCAGGAAGACTGGGTAAGGAACAGAATGGATAAGGAAAACAGCAGGTGACATAAGGGAGGGGGTGTTATCACAGTAGGAAGCAGACACCGTAGGCAGTCTGTAGCCATCCAAGATGCAAACATCAAGAAGTTTCAGTATAACCTCATTACTTAAGTAGGAAATAGAAGAAATCTTCAAGAACTGAGTAGCTCTAGAGATAGGAATCAGGTGGGCCAAACATGGATTGCAGCTTTTCTTATACAGCAGTACAGCTTAACTCTTTTTTTTTGAAATATATATTGTTATTGAAGAATAATACACATCCAGAAGAGAGCATAAGACCTAAGTGTATACTTCCGTGAGTTATCACAAACTGGATGCAACCCCAGAAAGCTCCACCAAGATGAAGTGATGGACATCTCCAGTGTCCCAGTGTGGTTGCCGGGTCATAGCCTGTACAGCTAGCTATGCAGCCACACTCCTTCTGGCAGCACCTGGACGTCCCAGTCCTACACTCTTGTCACCACTCTGTATTGTCACCATTCGCCATTCTGTTGAGTGTATAATAGTGTCACGTTAGAGTTTTAATTTGCATGTCCCCTGAGGCACAGTACAGTTGAGGACCTTTTCCATTTATCGACCATTTGGTTATCTTCTTTAATGAAGCATCTGTTCATGTCTTTTGCCCATTTTTAAAAATTTGAGTTTGCCGACTGCTTATTCATTTGTAGGAGTTTGTTGTCACATTTATTTCTTGTATGTTGCAGCTTACCTCTCCACTGTCTTAAAGGTGTTTGTTGATGAACAAAACTTAAGTTTTACTACATCTGATCATTGGTGTTTACCAATCGCAGAGATCATTTGAGGCTCTAGATTGTGTTTCCTTCCCTACAGAGGATGATTCTTTTATTTTAGCAGCTGGTAAAGAAAGGAGCAGATCAACCTAACGTGGACGGCACGGAACTGATTGGATCTTGTGAAGTCTATTTGCAGCTTACCTTTCAGGGCGTAGCCCTTGGTGCCTCCCATCCAAACGTCTGTGGTGTTGGCCAGGGCCCTTCTGATTCTTGAGCTCAGGACTGTGTGTTTCCATCTTCCCAGCCCAGTGAGATTTCAGGAAGTGTTGCTCACCTTCTCAGCTTCTGGACAAGAGTTGACAAGTGAGGAAATGCCTTAACAGGGAGAAGCAGCATTGTGCTCAATTCTCTGTGCTTTCTTTCTCTTCAAGATCCTGGCTCTCTTTACCTTGGTTACTTAGTGTTTCTCCGGTGCTTTGAAACAGATAATTTTGTCTATTTTTTTTCTCAGTGTTTCTGGTTGTTTCTCTGAGGGGAAGGCTTCATCATTAGTTATTCTGCCATTACTATAAGGAATATCTTCTTTGATTAAAAAAAACTGTATTTATTCCTTTAAAAATGAGAGCACAAGAGAAGTACAAAAAGAGTTAGACACAGGGTCATACAGCCCCTGCAATAAAAAGAATGTACAGTTCTGTCCTCGTGAAAAGGTAAGGGAGTTTCAGAGCAAAACTGACACCTGATCAGGGTTTTAAGGATCATTTATGACTCATTTAGCATTCAGGGAGAAGGGAAAGTATCTGTAAATTCTTAAAAGCATAAGGCATATGAGAGATTTAGTTTCAAAAATTTCCACACATTCCTGAAATCTTGCCAGATTTTTGTGCAGATGATGAAATGGATTTTTAACGAAGGAAGGACCGCTTTACAAGTTGCATCATCTGATACTGATAACATCCAGGATGACAGACTGTCTAGCTGTTGTCTGAAAAGCAGGCTAGAAGGAGCCGCATTCTGTTTTGGCAGCCGCTGACAGGTGGTGGATGTGGGAACAGCGTAAGTGAAGAGTCCCTGAGGCCAGAGAGGAGAAGGCTGATCAAATGAACTGAGAAAGATCCAAGTAAAAGGCAAGGAGGTAGGGAGTGAGAAGGTAAGGCTGGAAACGTAGGCTGGGGCCAGATCGTATAAGGCCTCATTAGCCACTTTAAATAAACTGAATTTTAACCTGAGAGCATGGGAAAATACTGAAGAGTGTTAATCTGTGGACACAGTCTCGATTGCCCTTTAATGCAAATTGTCCTTCCTCTCATGTGTGGATCAGCTGAGGGGAAGCAGAGTTGGAGGCAGGGAGACCAGTGAGAAGGCTGTTGCCTCATCCACAGAAAAGATGATAGTGGCCTGTGAACGGGATGAAGGGGTGCATTAAAGAAACAGAGACCTGACAGTTGTTAGTGACCAGTTCGAATATGGCAGGACGGGAGTAGAGAGGGTAACGAACAGCTCTAAGTGTGCGGCCCGATGGCTGGATGAAGAGTTGTATCCGTCTCTGTGACAGAAACCCAGGATCATTGGCAGGGATGCCGAGGCCTGGAGTTGAGCGATGCCAGGTTCAACTTGTCATGTATTCAATTTGAAATACCTGCAGGACATCCAAGTAGAAGTGCCCATTAGGCAGCTAGATACTTGCTTCTGGAACTCAGTGATGAAGTCTAGGCTGGAGATAAATATTTTATATGTTTAATAAAATGATAATGAGTGAAACCATGTGGGTAAATAAGTTTGCCTAGGGGGAGTGGTAGAGTGAGAAAGTTTATCGGATGTAACCCTGAGGAGCCCAAATATTTAAGAAGAAGGCTAAGCGATATAAATCTTTGAAAGAAATGAAAACATGCAGCCTCGGAAGGAGGAAGGAAACCAGGAGACAGGGTGTCTCTTGACTCACAGAGATAATTGCTGCCCAGCAGGTCACTTGAGAGAGGGACTTAAGCATCAATTGACGTAAGGAGAAACCAGGTCAGTGCTCTCCCAGTTAAAGGCATTTTCAGGAATTGAAGAATGGCTGGGAAGCAAGGAGACAGTGCAAGTGAGGATGGCTTCCCGCTGGCTGTCAGCTCCCTCCTCCACACTCGACATGTGTAGAATATTCAGAACTTATCCGTTGGCTGCCACCGGGCTGGATTCTAATGCAGATATGTTTTTGTTTGGCCAGTACAGTGTTTAAAATTTCTTCTCGGCTGGTTACAGTCATGTAGACAGAACCTTTTCCAGATTAAAAAAAATCTTTCATACCTGGTTTTTACCTTGTGAGTCTGATAGGTGGCCTAACGCTGTCTGCACACAAGCTACGTGAATTCTGATCGAGAAGAACTACTAGTACAAAGAATTCCACTATAGTTCATATCACTAACGTGTCTCCTTAAGCCTCCATTGCTGACTATAATTTGAGATCGAGATGGCAGGGATGCTGTGAAAGTAATCTGTGTCTTCCAAGGACTGTGGTTATTGAAACACTAGTCTGCTTCAGTGTCTCCCACTGGCAGTTCCGGTGTGTCCTGCACACTTGACTACAGGAGCAGACTTTTTGCGGAGGGGGGTGTTTGCTTGGAGACCTGCCCCGGGTGATTCTCACCATTACCCCGAGAATGTTGCTGTGAATTCAGCCACTTAAAGCCTTGGATGTTCATTGGGCTTCCTGGCATCTGGTGGCCTTATCTGAGCCTCTTGTGGGTGTGACTTCCTCTTTCTGGGAAACCTAATCCTTCCAAAGAGGATCCTTGACGTGCCTTGAGATTTTGTCAGGAGTCCTTGGCAGACAGCATGTGGGCGGATCAGCCGAGGCTTTGGGAATTCAGCGCTGCTGGTTTCTGCCTTTTTGGAAAGCTGTCTGAATCTATAAAAGGTCTTTCAGTAAATGATTTTTTCATAAACATGGCTCTTTTAATTGGATATGACAAATGTTTTATTCTTCTGAAGTCACGCGACTCAAATAGAAATGGGTTCAAGAGTCGGTATGGTAGATCTGGAGACCGGAGGGGAGGTCTAGAAGTCACAGCCTAGACTTTTCAGTGGACAGAGCTGTGATCTCCGCCTCTCCTAAAACCCGTGGGAAGCCGAGGCCCAGAGGGGAAGGCAGCAGCCCGAGAGGCCACACAGCTAGTCGGCAGAGCCGGAGCTGGGTGAGGTCTTCACCACGCCCTGCCCTTCTGAGCAAGGATGTCCTTTGACCCTGTGCTGGAAGCCTCAACATAAGATGGAATGACTCTTCTACTCGGCTTCTTTCCTTTACCTTGGCTTTGTTTATCTTTGTGTTTTCTCCTCTGCAGTTAAAAACACGCTGTTTAAAATTCGTTCATTTCACATGCTGCGCCCGGACGTGCCCTGTGATGAACGGCAGGTTGGCGGCTTTGTAACTTGTGTTGATTAGATTGTGGAGTTACGTCCCAGCTGAGTGCTTCCTAAATATTTACAGACTGGCAAGTCTGCTGGGCTGCGAAATTGTCTTGTTTTATGGATCTGGGGCCTTTCCTGCTCATTATGGGACTATGGCGCCTCGTCCTCTGTACGGAGGGGACCGCCTGCTACATCTGTGTGGACTCAGAGCTGAAGAGGCGCCGGTAAAGGCCACATTCAGTGCTGCCTAAGGCCGTCCAGCCAAAGCCTTTAGAAAATAGTGTTCTCGGAGCGCAGTGAGAGGGAACTTGATCTGTGTGCTTTCCAGGCGGATGTTACATGTTCTAACAAGAATGCCTCATAGTCCCCTGTTCCGAAGAGCGATGTGCAGAGTCTGACCCAGAACTTGAGAAACCTCAGATTTTAAAGTGTGTCCATGGACAAGATACTTCTCAGCCATGGGCCTCAGCTGAAATGGTTTGATAGGAAGAGCTTCGGGGCCGGCTATTCTGCAATTCTCAGGATTCTGGGACCCTTTTGTTACGAGTGCTGGCCTTTCCAGTCTTCATCCTTTTCTTGGGTGTGCCAAGTCCTAGGTGCTATGTAGGAAGGCTCCTCTTTCTATGGGAAGCGGTACTGTCGTTTTTAAGATTCTAGTTTATAGTTATATCGTTTATCACCAAATCTCATCATCTTTAGAAATGAATTTAAAGATGAGCAGGCGGGGAGGGTGTAGCTCAGTGGTAGAGTGCATGCCTAGCATGCACAAGGTCCTGGGTTCAGTCTTCAGTGCTTTCCACTAAAAATAAATAAGTAAACCTAATCTCCTCCCCCAAAAAAACAAACTAAATTTTTAAAAATTTTTTTAAAAATTAAAAAAAAATGAGTAGGCACTTCTCAGAAGAGGATGTCCACATGACCATTGAGTGTATGAAAAAGTGCTCAACATCATTGCTCTTAAGGGATGTAAAAATTAAACCTCAGTGTGATGCAACTATACACCCACCAGAACTGGCTAAAATTAAAAATCTGACAATAGCAAGTTTGGACCAGGATATAGAGCAACTGGAGCTCTCATATATTCCTGGTAGAGTGTATAATGGCAAAGCCATTCTGAAAAAGTTGTGTGGTGTCCTCTAAAGCTAAATACACACTTACACTATGACCCAGCAATTCAGCTCCTGGGTTTCAATCCAAGAGAAGTGTTTCCCTGTGTCTACCTAAACACTGTCCTGGTAGCTTTATTCATCATAGCCCAAACAGGAAACAACCCCCCAATGTCAAACAGCAGAAGAACAGATAAACAAATGGTGTGTTCGTATAATGGAATATGACACAGCAAGAAAAAGGAGTGGACTGCCAAGTGTAACAGCATGGGTGAAACTCACAGCACTGTGGTCAGAGAAAGAAACCAGACTCTCTAAAGAATACATGCTGTGTGCTTCCACCAACGTGGAGTTTAAAGACAGGTAAAACTAGTCTAAGGTGATAGAGGCTAGAATGGGGATTGCTTCTGGGGTGAGAGGATTTTGACTGGGAAAGGGCACAGGTGATGGAAATGTTGCATGTCTCCATCTGGGTGGTAGATACATTTGCACAAATTCAGTGAGCTGCCTGGGTAGACTGGTTCACTTCATCTCATATAAGTTACGCCCCATTAAAAACAGCAGAGAAGAAAAGTGAATCTGAATGATCTACCTGTGAACTTCATCCTTTGCACTTGGTCTCTTAGGTCTAGGGACACGCGGAGCACTGGGAGTGACAGGAGCCAGAGGGAAATAGTTTTTAGCATGGCATTGGTTGTAAAATCTCTCTTGGATCAGCCCAGAGCCAGTGGTATAGGCTACCTCTTTGAGAAGCACATCAATTCAAATTTTACGAAAAAACAATTCAGAGCCCGCCTGCGCCAGACACTGTCTGTGGGTTCTCTCCTTTCTAGGAGGCTCTAGTCTAGAGGCTTCCTCCCCAGGTAAGAGTATGACTTTTAGATGGAATCTAATAGAAAGTCTGATGGGCTTTTCTCCCCAGGGGTGGCTGCTAGGGAGACGGCCCAAGCTCTGAAAACTCTGGCGCAGGCTGCCCGGGGAGTGGCGGCATCGACAAGTGACCCCACGGCTGCGCATGCCATGTTAGATTCTGCTCGGGACGTGATGGAGGGCTCGGCCATGCTCATCCAAGAAGCCAAGCAGGCCCTGATTGCACCAGGGGATGCAGACAGTCAGCAGAGACTAGCCCAGGTGAGGCCGGGAACTGGTCACCATGGTCGTCATGGAGGTGGGCATGTTGACAGGCTGTCGCCTGGTGGGAGCACTTCTGCAAGCCTTGCCTAGACGCCCCCATAATGTGAGGTCTGCTTCATTTGGTGAACAGAAAGTATGGGGGGGCTCAATTGAAGTCGTCCCTGGGAACCTGAAGAGCCAGGACACAGCATGTTCGTTTTAGGCCTGTGTATGCTTACACATATGTCTCTTCCTAGCCTGGGAGGTGAGGGTATACTTGGTTTAGCCCCTCAAAGCTTTCAACCCTGTCTCTCTAGAGCCTCTTCAGATGAGTCTTGCCAGAGAATAGAAACAGGGAGCCTCACACATCCTTAAAAGGCAGCACGTGGGCAACTCCAGGTTGCTCTGGATGTGCTCAGAGCATCCCACCTGCCCTTGGGCAGGGTGAGGGGAGGCAGCCATGGCACCAGAGGGCCCTGAATAAGTCCTGGCATCCAGAGAACCCAGGGCCTCCCCCAGGACCTCTGCAGGACTCTCAAGAGGGGAGCTCTTTCTCTTTCTCTGGATGGGAGGGAGATACCTTTGCTTTAGAACCTGACGTAACATGGGAAAGTTGTGGTTTGAATCACAGTCATGGCGTGGCCTGGCGCTGGGGTGCAGGTAGTGCCTGCTGTGGCACTGGGTCAGACCCTTTGCCAAGACAGGACGTTAACCGCAGCGAGAGGCCCCGGGGAGGCGACTTAATGCTAAACAGCATCAAGTGGATGTCGGCGGAGAGTTTCCCAGTCTTTTCCAGCTCTGCGCTCTGTCGCTGCTCATCCCCAACACGTGTGCAGGGATGTTTGCATTGAAAGCCTTTCTGATGCGGCTTTTCTCCCTCTGCGTGTTCAGGTGGCCAAAGCCGTCTCTCACTCCCTGAATAACTGCGTGAATTGCCTCCCTGGGCAGAAGGATGTGGACGTGGCCTTGAAGAGCATCGGGGAGTCGAGCAAGAAGCTGCTGGTGGACTCGGTGAGTTTATGGCTCGGGACGGGCACCTGGGGGACTGGGCTCGCGTTCAGTGGGAGCAGCGTCCTCTCCCCTCATGGGACCTCTGAGCAGCTCACCTTTCCCTCGGGGGTCCTGTTTTTCCTGCCTTGTCCTTGTTTTGCCTTCTGATCAACAGAGTCCCCGAGTAATGCTTCTAAAGTTTACTTTTTCTTTGAGCCCATGTTGCTGTTTGCTCTCAGGTCATCCTGAGATGCGATGAGGCAGGAAAGGGGATATGTGACCATCTAACTTCTTATGAGGGCACCTCAGGCAGTGACAATCAGGTGATAATGGGACACGTGTTTAGAGCTCACAGAGAAAGTGAGCAGTCTGTGGAATTTCTCTTTGGGGCCTGTTCCTTCCCTGTTGTGTGAGCCCCTTTAGAGCTTTGTTTCTTCTCTGCCTCGTGCCTGGCACATTCCAGGTATGCAAGCATTGGGTGTGTGTGACCAGCAGAGCCTGGCTTGACCCTCTGGAACTTTTCACAAACCCTGAATAATTCTGCTAGTGCTGTGTCTGTGGAAAAGCTGTATTGTTAGCAAAGACCACTAATGAAGAAATTTGGCGGCTATTAGTTTGGAATAATGAGATTTAAAGTGAGAGCATCTGCTTTTTAGTTTCAGGAAGCTAAACCTTTGGGAGTTTGCATCTAAGAGAGCCAAGATTGAGCGGTGGTTCAGAGAGTGGATCCCAGAGTCAGGCTGCCCAGGTGTGAGTCCTGGCTCTGCCACTTAGGAGATACAGGCCCTAGGGAAAGCTGTCCTTGCTGTTTTTAGATCTGCTGTGTCTAGGGCTGAATAGGTGTTCAATAAATTAAAGCAAATGAGTGAATGTATATCCGTTGAAGGTCAAACTTCACATGGGCTCAGACCACACAGAGCCTTTTAGGCTGGATGACTCAGAAATGCGTCCCTGGAGTCTGTCTTCCCTCTGCAACACCTACCTTTGTCTCTCCTACACAAAGTAAAAGTTCTCATGCAATGTGCCCTCTCTTCCCACAGTTACCTCCAAGCACGAAGCCTTTCCAGGAAGCCCAGAGCGAACTGAACCAAGCAGCGGCCGATCTGAACCAGTCTGCCGGGGAGGTGGTCCACGCCACCCGGGGCCAGAGCGGAGAGCTGGCCGCTGCCTCCGGGAAGTTCAGCGATGATTTCGACGAGTTCCTCGATGCCGGCATTGAGATGGCAGGCCAGGCTCAGGTGGGTGTGCAGGTGGCTGAGTGGAGCTGACCCTTGCCTCTCGACCCTGGGGGACCGTCCACCCCTGAGGCCAAGTGGCAAAAGGGAGCCGGGGAGCTGTGAGCAGCCCACACCTTTATGTTCCCTTTGCTGCTCAGGGAGCTCCGTGACCTCATGGGAATGGCATTCCCAAAGACGCGATTAGCCCATGGGTGAGGTGCGTCCTGGAGATGACGGGTAACTTTCCCACGATCCTCCAACAGAACCCATTGTTTTATGTACACTTTTTGGAGGGAGGGCAGCTCTGCCTCCTGTACTTCAAATGTGGTATAATATAGTGACAACTCATGTACTTGAGGTTTAGTGAGCCCATTTGAAGGAACTATGTCCTACCCTGAGTGTCAGGTCATTAAAACTTACCTCCTTCAGATGAACAGATAAACCCCTTGTTAGGAACAAGGGAGCATGACTGGTCTGGTGTCGGCTTCCAGAGATGTTTTTTCTCAAGCTCCTGTGAACTCCCTAAATGAGGCACCCAGGGTGTTTCTTGGTCTCTTATCTACAAAGGGTTGTTTCTCGGATGGCAAGCCAGGTGAGAAATGCGTCCTTTCCAGAGGCGGGAACCTCTGGGATGCAGTCAGCTCTGCATATCCAGACAGCGCTGGTCATTTGTGCCAGGCTGAGCCGTGCGAGCCCCTGACAACTCTAGCATTGTTGAGCAAGATGCTGGAATTGTGGCCTGGTCTGTGCACACTCTCTCTCCCTCCCTCCCTCCCTCCCCTCTTTTAATGCCCACACTTGTGAGACAACGCAGCTCTTGGCTAACCCACTTGGGGATGGATTTCTGTCCTGTTGTGTATCTTGGTTTGGTGTCTGTTTGGGGAAGGGCAGACACTGGGCAGAGTCTCGATAAATTACGCATCTACAGACTAACTGGGCAAATTGGGCTTCGTGCAGTCTGTACAGATAACCTGCTTCCGTTTCACGATGCTGCTCCGAGCTCTGAGTGCTGCCTGGGACAGATGGACAGTCCCTAATCACTCTGGCTCCTTTTGACCTTCCAGACGAAAGAAGACCAGATCCAAGTGATAGGGAACCTCAAGAATATCTCGATGGCATCCAGCAAGCTGCTGCTAGCTGCCAAGTCTCTCTCTGTAGATCCTGGGGCGCCCAACGCGAAAAATCTCCTGGCTGCAGCTGCGAGGTAAGAGTGGAACAAGATGTGCTTTCACGTGTGGTTAAATCGCGTCAGTGTTTGCGAGATGCGCCTGACATCCTGCTGCTTTTGCTGAGCGAAGAAGTGATGTTGTCCTCATGTAGTCAGAGTAGGAGGCGAAAGTAACAGACGCTGGTCTCTGATTAAACTGGCTCCGTTTCCATGTGCTTTTCCCCATTAACAATGCCTCTGTCTCCTCTTACAGCCTTTTCAGGAGGACTTGCTAGGACTTGAGGCTCCCACTGATTTATAAACACGATGGCTTAGATTTTTTCAATAGTGTTAATATCTTTCAGATCAGAGAAGTAATATATGTTTATTGAAAAGAAATCAGAGGATGCTGAAAAGTACAAAAAAAGGATTTTTTTTCTTTTTTTATTGAATTATAGTCAGTTTACAATGTGTTAATTTCTGGTGTACAGCACAGTGATTCAGTTATATATATATATATATATTCCTTTTCATATTCTTTGTCATTATAATAGGTTATTACAAGATATTGAATACAGTTCCCTGTGCTATACAGTAGGACCTCATTGTTTATCTATTTTACATATAGTAGTTAGTATCTGCAGATCCTGTACTCCGAATTTCTCTCTCCATCCCCTTCTTTCCCCCCCGATAACCACAATTTTGTTTTCTATATCTGTGAGTCTATTTCTGTTTTGTAAATAAGTTCATTTTTTTTACATTCCGTATGTGAGTGATCTCATATTTTTCTTTCTCCTTCTGGCTTACTTCACTTAGAATGACGATCCCCAGGTCCATCCATGTTGCTGCAAATGGCAATTTTTTATTTTTTATGGCTGAGTAGTGTTCCATTGTATAAATATACCACAACTTCTTTATCCAGTCATCTGCCGATGGACATTTAGGTTGCTTCCATGTCTTGGCTATTGTATATAGTGCTGCTATGAACATTGGGGTGCACGTATCTTTTTGAATTAGAGTTCCCTCCAAATATATGCCCTGGAGTAGGATTCCTGGATCATACGTTAAGTCTATTTTTAGTTTTTAAAGGAATCTCCACACTGTTTTCCATAATGGCTGCACCAAACCACATTCCCACCAATAGTGTACGATGGTTCCCTTTTCTCCACACCCTCTCCAGCATTTATCCAAAAAAAAAAAAAAAGATACTTAACTAGCCATTCAGCATCTCTTGAGTACTTACTCTGTGCCTGGCACCAGTGTTGATTAGGTGGATTTAAACATGTTCACTCGGTCACACGCAGAAGGGCTCTAGTTCAGAATGAATGGGCTGGTGATGGGAGTAAATTGTTTTGGGAAATATATTAAAGCACAAATCTGATTTAGGATGATGTCAATGTCCTTCTTTCCTGTTGTTTTCGCCCTGAGAAGTGGGTAATACAGTACAATTTCTGCTCCAGGGCCACTGTGGCAATTTAGTTCCATAACTAGTGATTGAATGCTGGTACCTGGAGAAACCACAGTGACAGCTGACAGCCCAGGGAGATTTTATGTTGTCAGTCCCACATTCGTCCTCTTGAACCGAGAGGGTAGCGTGTTTTACACCTGCGTGGTGGTGTAGGCGTGTTTTCCTAACATTACTTGGCATCACTGGATATATAGGAAAGCCAACAGCAGTAAGAGATTAAATACAGGACAATTAGGATATAGAGCATAATTGGAAACATTTTCAAAATGTGTGCAGATTGGTGATTCTTAAAAAGCATGGCTTGAATTCTACTTTAAAAAAATTTTTTTAATTTGGTTTTGTTTGCTTATTTGTTTTTTTAATGTCATTATCTCTCCTGGCTTTAAGTTGTCAGAATCAGGAGACCTAAATTCTAGTCCAAGCTTTAACGCTTGACGAACTAGCTTACACTGGTCAGGCCACTCAACCTGTCTAAACGTTCCCATTTGCAGCAGGGAGGTGTGTGTGTAGCAATCATCCTTAAGCCCTGTTCAGTTGTCAGTGTATAAGCTATCATGGTACCGATGGTTAAAACCTGACTCTGGTCTCCTCTTTGCTTGTAGTGTTATTTTTTTATGGGGAGATTAGATAATTTCAGAGCAGTTCCCTTGAAAGCCTTTGAGTTTATTTATTCCCAAATACGTACTTCAGTTTCAAAGGATAGCTAGAGCCAC